CCTGTTAGGGACTGTCATTGTCAATCGTACAGAAGCGTATGTGTGGTTTGTGTTTCATGTAGCACCGCCGTAGGTGTGGCGTAAGTGCGTGTTTCTGCCTGAGTGCTGACTTAGGGCTGAAATATCCGCACCCTCCTGTTGCAGCAGATTACATGACTTACGGGGTTCCCACAGTCTGCGCACCGCAAGAGATGTCTATGACCTTCTGATATATGTAAATGTTACTCTGTCAGTGTTAATGAAACTTATAAGACGATGCATGATGTTTTTTTTTTACTTCTTGCTACCCCGCTGTGGTGTGATGTGCATACGTGTGTATGTGACTGCTGACTCATGCTTTTTGTACGTGTGTGTGTGTGTGACTGCTGACTCATGCTTTTTGTTTGAGAAAAGCAGCATCTAGTTGCAGCAGTAAAGAATGTGACTGAAGGCTCTCCCACAGCAAAGTTGGTCATCAACATATGCTGTGTTTTAGGTAATGATGGGTATCAATCCTTGGTTTGATTCCAACTGCACTTAATGATTCTGGTTCATTATTAATTCCTTGAAGAAGCAATCATTTGTCTTAAATTTTTTTAACTGGTGTGCATATACAGGTGCATCTAAAAAAAATTGAATATCGTGAAAAAAGACACCATGCACTGACACCAGCTTCAGTCCACTCCTTGTGAAGCTCTCCCAAGTGTTTGAATCGGCTTTGCTTGACAGTATTCTCAAGCTTGCGGTCATCCCCTTTGCTTGTGCACCTTTTCCTACCTTATTTCTTCCTTCCAGTCAACTTTGCATTTAATCTGTAAACAGCAACCCCTTTCAGTAATGACCTTCTGTGACTTACCCTCTTTGTGGAGGGTGTCAATGATTGTCTTCTGGACCATTGCCAAGTCAGTAGTCTTCCCCATTATTGTGGTTTCAAAGAACAAGAGATACCCGGAATATATACTGTAGGGATGGTCATTTAATGAAACTCAAATGTAAATATTCTAATATTTTGAGATACTGAATTTTTTAATTTCATGTGCTGTAAGCTCTAATCATCAAAATTAAATGTTTTACTTTATATGTAATGAATCTAGAATATATGAAAGTTTCACTTTTTTAAATAAGTTACAAAAAAATTTACTTTTTCATAATATTCTAATTTTTTTGAGATGCACCTGTATCTCGAATCCGATTGGCTGATAATAGTGTGATATTTGAGTGATATTAGAACTCCAACAGTTTGTAATCATATCACTCCGCTTGCGGTACTTCTTACATCGAGCGTCATGGCGGACGCCCACATCCAGTATCCTACCAAAAGTTTGGGATCAGAATGATTTTTAATGTTTTTTACAGGAGTTTCTTATGCTCATCAAGGCTGCATTTATTTGATCAAAAATAAAGGAAAAAACGTAATATTGTGAAATATTATTATGATGTAAAATAGCGTTTTTCTATTTTAATATACATTAAAATCTATTTATCTAGAAAAATCTATTTATTCCTGTGATGCAAAGCTGAATTTTCAGCATCATTACTCCAGTCTTCAGTGTCACATGATCCTTCAGAAATGCTTAATATTTTTTTGGAACCTGTGATACTTTTTTTCAGGATACTTTGATGAATAAAATGTTAAAAAGAACAGCATTTATTTAAAATAGAAATCTTTTCTAACAATATACACTACAGTTCAAAAGTTTGGGGTCAGTAAATTTTTATTCCACAGATTTATATGATTTATATTTTTTTTTATTTTGAATAAATGCTGTTCTTTTTAACTTTTTATTCATCAAAGAATCCTGAAAATCCTGAAAA